GTCCTCTTCTTTGGCGGCCGCGAAGGACGCAAGAGCAAAAACGGTCACAAAGGCTACTTTCCACATGGTCACTCGAGGTTCAGCTTCTACCAAAAATGCCTTGCAGGCTTGAGCACATCCGACGGAGTGCCATGTCTGGGAGCAGCACACACCCTGGCAAGATGCTTCATGTCCATGGGTACGTCTTTGAGAAACTGGAAGACGAGAGCCATGTGAAATCACCATCAACACTCCACGGCCATGTCTAAGCACAAAGGAGTCGACTGGCGGCAGACTGCCGCAAAAACACTCTCCAGTTGGGCGGTGACGTGCCTGATCGACCGAGCGCTTCTCTGACGCTCTCCTCGTAAGTAGATGCGAAGGCCTTCGGATTTGGAAAACAGTCAACGCACAGCCCAGACTCGCAGCGTCCGTCTGTATGCTTCAGCAAAACGCCTTATCGGAAAAAACAGTCTTTCTGAAAAGTGTCGGCTTTTGCGTCCGTGGAACTAACGCATCATGTGGAGATGCTCTGACGGAAAGGGCCTTCAGGTGCAGTCGCCGCACGCTGCTCATCTCGAGCTCCATGAAATCTGTTCAGGGCGTCTTCATGCGCAGCCGTCGCTAAGCGGGTTGGCTGGCATGCTATGTCTACGCGTGGAACACCTGCCTCGAACGGCATCTAGCTCTTCCTTCTGCCCGGACGTCAAGACCCGACCACTCACTTTCTCCAGGCAGGACTTGTAGACCTGTTCTCTTATTGGAAGCATCACTGGCCAGTACCTTGACTCGCTGGAAGAACTCCCGGCGTTAACCCTGAGCCTCCATTGCCGTCTCCTCCACTGCGCTGAGGGGCAAGCGGAACTTGGCCATCTGGAATGCCAGGATAAGACACAGAGACAGCACGCCGTTCGATGCCATGGACATGCGCCTCATCGCTCAGATCAGGCTTCATCTCCGCCAACTTGCTCTTCTCATCCTGAGAAACAGGTGCAACGTGTGAGCGCAAGCGACACTTGGCGCAAGCGAATGCTCTTTCACCCGAAAACGGTGGCAATCAAGAGTTTATTGCTTATCCGGATTTCGCTGCCAGCAAGTCATTCTTCGTGGGATGGATGCAGGGCAAAGCAGGGCTTGATGAACTTCGGTCCACACTCTAGTTGGCACAGCGGCAGGTTGGTGTGAACACTGAAAGTTTGAGTTGACTGGGTTACATTTGGCTTGCTCATCGCCTGGTATGTGCGGGGGGGCCGTCCGGCAAACAACGGAAGCAGTCCAGCGGCCGAGACTGAGGTGTGCTAAGGCACATCGGGACCGATGAGTCGAATGAAGCGGGCCCTTGACAGCATCAGGATCTGTAAGCAGCGTTGCAAATTCGGAAACGTGCTGCACCCAATGTGCCTTCTTGCAGCTCGCTGTGCTCACTGTCAATACTTACTGCTGCTCACTCTGTCCTTGTTTCGAACTCTTAGATGCGCCAGCACGCCGGCCCGGTTGTGTTGTTCGGAAAACAATCCGGCAAGCACACGACTCTGACGATGCTCCATTATGCCCGGAGCCTGGGCTTTCTTGATGCAGCTCAAATACATCTCACGGAGCCGCGGCTGACCTCATAGAGCAGTGGAAGGAAAACGAGGACATGTTCATCAGATCCGAGGCTCCTGCAAGTCTCGACTCTGGCAGCTTCCGCATCTTCCTGACAGCTGCACAGCACCCCTACTGATTCTACCTCAACCTGCATCAACCTGCAGTCTAACATCTGGAAAAGAACTGCTCTGCAAGATTTCAATCTTAAGCCTTGTAATTATCAGGCCTCCGAAAGCTCAAGAATGCTGGCGAATTGATCTGGATCGGAAGCAGGCGCCTGGCATGATGCCCAGCTATGCTCAGCAGATCTCAGCAGTACAAAATTTCAGCCCCTGCCTCACCCTTCAAGGAGCGCTCAAGGTAAAGGCCGTACAACCTCAGACAGGCGAATTTGGCAAGGAGCTTGCCAAGGCTGAGCGGCGAAGGCCGCCAAGGCCGCCACCGCCGTCCGGGCAAGGGGTCCGCGGTCAGCGTCAAGCGCCCATCCTCCCAAGGCAAGGCGGCGGCAAGGCCATCCTTCCATGCCGCCATCTGCCTCCACTTCTTCTTCCGTCTCCTTCAGTCCCGCCTGAGCTGAATGTGTTCTGCTGTGAAGAAATACTTGCCAGAGGAGCTGGCCAGCATCTGCTTCAGCATGGTGTCCGAAGCTTTGGTCAAAGCCATCATCTGGTCAGGAAGCTGCGCACACTCCCCAACACGGCACCCCTACATACGCCCTCATCCCGACTGTCGAGACAGCTAACGTCTCAACGGACCGCGGGCACTGCACCATGAAGCTCCAATCACACAAGAGACAGCACGGTACAGTATTAACAGCTCAAGCAAGGGTTTGCCAAATGGATGCTGACCTCAGTTGCGGCATTTGTGCTGACTTCATGCCGCTTCGGGTACACTGCGAAATCTACCAACAAGGGTCCGCATTCAGCAAACGCCAACAACAAGAGTCTGACGACAGACTCGGGAGTAAGCGAGGCCTCATCCATGGTCCCCAAAGCCTTCGTGGCACTTGTACGCGCTTCCTCGCACAGCTTGATGCCCGATGCTATCGTCGGCGTTGTCAGCGCTGCTCAACGCGATGCAGTCCTTGCAGGCCACGTTGTACATGGACCGCAGAATCTCCTGCAGTGCCTGCAGGCAAATGAAATTAGAATGTGACACAAGAATCACAAGACAAGCAACCAGAAACCTAGCGGGCCTGTCGGACACAGGTGAAGGTCGAAGCGCTGGAGAGGCCGATTTCCTGGCACGAGGCTCGTAAAGCTTCGTAACCTACTCATTCTTGCCACACACTGAAGCAATCAAACCACTCCGCGAAGAATGCTAGAGAGGCGAATCCGCCTCGAGTGGTCAGAGGTTCCCAAAGGGATTCCCTGTTTCCCCACCTTTTAATTAAATCCCCTCGCCAGTGACCCGCCCCCCCCTGATCGAAGCCATCCCCGCCTCCCCTTTAAAATTGTATTTCGCAAGCCCTCGTCCAAAGGGTGTTTCACCCTGCTCCCCCCACACCCCGCCCCCCCTCCCCTTTCCCCCTTCCCTCATATCTCGTTTGCGGCGAGCGAAGCAAGACAGGCTAGCTTACATCATTCGTGAAGTTGATGCCAAAGCCTGGGAAGTCTGGAGTACTTTGTTGCAAAGCTTGATTCCCCTGTTCCCCTTTCCAACATATGGGAGGTTGTAGTGAGAAGTGTAATACGATGTTTATAGGATAATGCAGGGAATGTGCCACCTTTCGCGTGGGATTATTGCTCAGCGCCTCAGCATGTAAACAAATATTAATTGACAAGTGGTCTGAAGCATCTCGGCGGCCTCTCCGCGAGATGCCAGCTTTGACGAGAACTCCTTCAGCTTCTCTGCTGCCACGGTGGAATCCTGAGCAAGCAACGCTGTGCAGGATTGGACGAGATGCAGTCTCCAGCTACTGTAGGCAAGTCTGAGTTAACGTCCTTCAGACTCGGCAGTAGGGTGTCAAGCTCCTCGTTTAAAGCAAGAGAACCACTGCACGCATCGGTGGCTGCAGAAATGATCTGCCTTGCAATCTGCGATCTGGCCTTCTGAAGAATTGGACCTGAAACGGCGGCAAAGGCGGCTGAGGCTGCTTTGTCCCGCAGCTGCAGAACTCCTGCGAGTGCAAGGTGGCCAACTGAACTTGCATGACTGCTAGACATGACATCAACATCACACCGGATCCACAAAGACGGGCTGGCTTTTTTTTGAGAAACGATCTGCGGTCTGCACTCCGAGCAGCCGAGAGCCCCGAGAGCCCCGAGTGCACCAGCGCCGTCTCGTGATCAAATGTCCGCTCTCAAAGGCTCATTCGGACGCGAGTCGGACATGCCGCGCTGCCACTGCACGTTCGACTCCTAGGGTCCACCTTCCGAAACTTCTGCCCGCAGAGAGACGTGCCTTGCACCTGCTGATTGTGGCTCCTTCTGCTCCAAACATCACAGTTCGACTGCGAACAGCATGTCGTTGCCTTAGGAAGAGAAGCCGTGCACGACGTCAAGAGGCAGCGACGGCTTGAAAGCTAGTTTGCCCATTTAAATTTACTGTCCAGCGACCGCGGGCAAATAACCAGAGCAGACAGAAAAGCAATAGCAGCATGGCGCTTGTGTACAGGACGACCGAGAGACATCCTCACGAACATAACAGGAAGTCGGTCAAGAAAGCATGACTTGGCAGCATCGTCGGTACCTTCATGTGTCTCGGCACCAACTTTATTCATCGCCAGTGTTGGTTTTGTACCTTGGGCTCCACGTAACCGAAAGCTGAAGTGTACCCAAGTAAGTTGCGCTTCGACTTGGCTTAAGTCAAGGACCGTTGCCCTTGACTTCGGAGCTTTCGGCATCATGAAACAGCTCTGCAGTTGGTGCGAAGTCTTCCGGTGCGTATGAAGGTCTCTGAAAGCAGCACGATGTAAGCCAAGACCTCAGCAAGGCGACAATCGTGAGTCGCACGGGGAAGCTGTGACTATGACGTCAATCTCAGCCTGCTGCGGCCAAACAGGCTCATCACGAACTGGAAAGGCCTGCAAGCTGGTACGAAGTTAGGTTCTTTCCGAGGCTCGTGTGGCCATGCACTTTTGGCCTTCAGACCATTTTCAGGGTCTGCTGCCCGTGCGGCTTGGTGAATGGCAGCCTCGAGCTCTGCAACTTGGCGGCCATGTGGCCACAGGAAGGCGTAAGCCATCCTCAAAAGCTTGCCAGCCTCAAGTCAAAGACGACGTGGGAACACATGGCACACGAGCTAGTTTCTTGTATTGTGTCACGCCGAGGAACATCAGGCTTCCAACGTTCTCCCACGCCACGATACCCACCCCGGATCTCCAAAGGAAGGTCATCGGGACGGTAGCCGAATCTGTTCAGCAAGGGCTGTTCATCTGTCTCCATGTCCTGGAATTGCCGCGATGAACATCTGTGACCGTGGTCGCCTCCACCTTTATGCAGCAACGTGTAATGCAAGGTGCATCCAAGGTGCCACCTTCGACCGAGTATTCTCATCGACAAACCTCGCTCTGCTAAGCAAATGCATCTACCATGCCAGCCGCCAGCAGATTAAAGGCACGGCCGAAACAGAAGCAAGCTTGCAGCATCGAACTGCCAAACCAAGGAGGACTGGTCAAGCCGGGGCACCACATAATCTGGCGCACCAGAGAGACGAAGGATGCAGGCACGGGATACACGATGGCGACTTTCAGCCGCTCCGGATAGTTGTTTTGAAAAGCTGAAACCATCCTCGGTTTGCACAGACGCCTGCGGCCCAAGGAGGTCACTTTGGCATCGCCCCAGCTTTGTCAAGGCGAGCCAAGATTCACATGCGCCCATGCCACAGGAGGGGGGGAGCCGAACACCAAAGCACCTCGTTCCACGGGTCATAGTGGTTAATCAATCCATCGAAGTCTGTCAAGACTACAGTTCTACGGCTCCAAGCGCTTTTGCTGGCTTTGAGGCCGAGCTACATATTTGATGCACACCTCGCTGCTCCATCGAATCGATGCTGTCCTCGAAAAATCTGAGAGAAGCCAGTACCAGGGCGGCTTCAGACACCGCCTGGTCACCCAGATGCAATCAGAGCATCGCTCTACGTGTCTTCTCCGCTGGACTCGACTTACCAGCAACGAGCCTCAGTGGCAAAGCCACCAAACAAGAAGTTGACGAGAAGTACCTCGGAACAGCGTGTCAAAGTCAGCACACAAAACAAGCATGCAGACAGCACGCAAAGACATGTGCACGACCCATGGAAGAATGCAGGAGCAAAGACTTCTCATAACCAACACTACCTGCAAGACGGACGGCCATGCTAGAGCTAAAAAATCCTGAAACTCGAGGGACAGCAGCAGCAGCAGCAGCAGCAGCAACCACAGCAACCACAGCAACGACAACGACGTGCCGTCTTCCAGCTTACATCTGCGCAGATCAGTTTCTTCTTCTTCGGGCAAGCCAGCAACTTGACGTTCGTAGTTTCGCACTGCCGCAAAAACATGCACGTAGTGGGAAGCTGGATGAGCTGGGGGCGTGCTCTCTGCTTCGCATAGCACTTTCTTATCGGAGTATTTTGTCTCCACAGCTTCAATTTCATTTTACATATATTATCATGACCGGAACCCCTGTTCTTCGTGTTCAGCTCTGCGGCCTTGATCAACACATCCGCCAAGGCCTCTGTCTTGGTTGGAGCGCTCAACCCTGCGATGATTGATGTTCGAAATCATTCGATTGCAGCTCAGAAAAGCTGGCGTTCGTGTACCCCACGACGTGTCTCGTTTCTTCTTGTTTGATATGAAAAAGCCGCTTTGTCATCCTCTCCGTTTCCGACTTCCATTTTGCAAAGCAACGCTCTTGCCGAGGCACTACGGAGTGCAAAGTCCAGTAATGTAGTCGCCTCAGTGCGGCCTCATTCCATGTGTATCTCTGAAATTTATATCCAAGCGGGGATTGAGAAGCAACTTGACCACCACCACAACTTCCTGCCGCAAAATGGAAGAGCGGGGTCTGATTGTTTTTGTCGACCACTGCCAAGTCAACACCGTAATACACCATTTCGGATACACATCCTTGCCAGCTTCTCCCAACCACGTCGCATACATGCTACGCGGCAAACCAGAAATATCTGGTCTGGTCCAGAAGACTGGGGTGCCAATCCATCACGGCTACTTCTGGCACTTACCTGGCTTCCACAGACACGCCATTTAGCACCTTTGCGAAACAGTGGCTGCATGTCGCGGTCTAGGTCAAAGAAAGCTAGCCACGTCTGAGCATTCACACTGGCCATCATCCACGGGTGACAGTGTTCTTCCGAAAGGCAGTTAGCACAGGGCAACCTGCCCCACTGCTAGAATGCGCTTTCATTCGGGTTACCCCAGCGAGGTGCGATTGTGAGTTCTGCGCGACTCGCGACTAAAGCAAAGTGCCCCAGAGCGTGACTGTCAAGAGTCATGAAGGCAAGGAAGAAACTTAGTCGTGAGGGTGTGGGTACTCGACGAAAGTCTTGAGAACGTAGCCTTGCATCGCTCCAGAATCCCTTCTCGACATGCTGACCTTGACCTTCCGAAAATACCTTCCCCATTGCTAGGGGCACCAAATTAGAATGAAATCGAAGAACAGTGGAGGAATCGAACAGGTGATCTCACTTTCTTGCAATGGCCTCCGCAGGGGAAAAAACTCATCTTGCTCTGCGGTTCTGCAAAAAAGCACTCAAAAAGCTTATAATTGATTGTTCTAACACAACCGAGATCTGACTAGGGAGCTAGCGGCTAGCGACAGCCAAGGCACGGGACAACCATCGCTGTCTTCTCGCAAGCGGCGGAATCGCAGATCTTCATCAAGAAGTTGGGCGGTCAATCCTTCCCGCGGGATCGGAAAGGTCCTTTGCCTGCACTGATCAATGCGCTCGCGACACAAAGACCACGCTCAAGCTTATTGATTCTTCCGGCCTCCATGCCAAATGGTCCGCGAACCTGAGTCTCAGCATGCAGCCGTTGCGATTTCTTTCGTCTTGTGCCGGCAGGGCACATCTTCTTTGCCGCTTGGACATCGCCCTTCCGCGCCGTCAAGAAGCGACAAAGCGATGCCTCGGTCCCTGCCGGAGACCTCAGCTGCGAGCCTGCTCTTTCAGAGCAAGGTGCATCACCTTGTTCCCCGCACACCCGCCCCCACCTGTCCCATGCCACGGTCTCACCATTTGCAGTCTTGTAGAGTGGCAGCTGCAAGTGCTCCAGTTCTTTACGAAGGCGATGCACACCTGCGTTCCGCTGTTTTGCCAAATCTCATGGCGCAGTAAACTTGTCTCAAGGCCTTGGTGGAGCGTAGATCTCCAAGAGTCGTCTTTGCCATGCGGGGACATTCATGGCAAGCGTTGCTGTTGAGGGAAAGACAAGCTGCCACAGAAATGCCAATTCGTCAAGTTCGCTCCACATGCTTTGACTTGCAAGCCCTCGGCAGAGATGCAAGCCGTCCTCTGGCTTGCTCCAAAGTGGCCTTGCCGTCAGAAGTCAACACTCCGTCAGAAAGCTGTGCCTTGGCTGACGGAGGCTCGGCCACTCGGCCAATGTGGGAAACATGGTCTCTGTCGTAAATTACTACAGGTAGGAAGAGAAGCTGTCTGGACATCCTCTAGGCATGAGACACAGCACCTTCTCCTGGGGGCCCTGCCTTTGCGATTTCCTTGTACCTACGACGCAGTTGCAGCCGGTCTGGCAAGGCAGTGCGGGACAACGCGGCAACCCGTGAGGTACCCCGTGCAGTCAGAGAGAGGCACGTGTCCAGATTCATCCGCTCTGCTTCTTCACCAGCTAAGCCTGGCGAGCCCACCGGTGTCGTGAGAACGCAAAGAATGTAAAGATCTCTTCGACCCTACAAATCCGCAGGGCTTACCGAAGGCCATCTGTGCGCCTGCCAGCGCTTCACCTGTGTGGGCATCGACCTGACATTGACATATGCAGTCGTCGTAGCGGTTGCAAGTTGGCATGAGTGCCCCCGTTTGCACCGACCAGGAGTCAAATCACGGAAGAGAAGGACATGCTGACTTCGTCAAAGGAGCACTTTTCGTCGCAGTGGCAACCACCCTCTTCGGAGTGAAACTCAGTCAGCTCAGGTGCTCAGTCCGTCAGTGCTATGCTTCTACTGTTGATATTCAGCAGAAGACTTTGCATTGGCTTTCAGATGGATGCCGAATGCAGAACGACCATTTCAGGTCAATTACGTAGAAAAACAGGCTGACCATTGAAAAGCATCGACAGTGCATAAGAATAGCTGACCTATTCATACATCACACATGAACTGGTATCATTGGGACAATGTGCGTATTAGCAGCTATTAGCATCGGCATTCTGCTACCTCGGGAACTGCCGGGTACCACAACCAAGCTGAAGCGCAAGGTCAGCCTTACATTTTACAAGTACATACATTTTGTCTGGGCATTGGCTTACTCACATTTATCCTGGCCGAGCATAGACTTCTGATGCAGAGCCGGTTCGATCAAGTGCAGCTTCTCTTGAAGGTTCGCAAGGGTCAAGTTGTGTTGCGACTCGCCATCGACATGAGCGAACTGGTTCCGAACTCCTCGAAGTTCCCTCATCGCTTCACGCAATGCTTTCATCTTCGGATGGTTCTCGGGGTCCCACTTCTTGTTGAGGTCCTCCTCAAGCTTCTGCAAGTTCTCGTGCTCCGCCTGCTCGTCCGGATTGCCGTCCTCCTGGAGCCGTCGTTGGTAGACAGGCAGGACCTTCCTGGAGATGAACGTCAAAGTATCGAACCCGGGGACCATCAAGCCACTCATGCGAATTTGTGCCTCTGCGAGCAACAGGCCTGCAGGGACCACAAGAAACGTTTGTAAATTACTTTCTTGAGAGAGCTACACTTGGCCACAATAAACTCTGCAAAATTTTGGCTTCGAGCCGTCGCGAGTGCCGAGGAGGTCGAGCAAGACATTCTCGCTGGTTGAGTTATCTTCTCCCTGAACCCACTCGCATTTCACTCCGAAGGAGTCCAAAGCCTTTGAGCAGAGCTTCACAAACTCCACCTCCCGACCTGCAAGATGAGCTCTCACATGTCTTCCAAGTTGCGGCCTACGAAAACTAATTTCATTGCAAGGGGCCTGCGATGACGGCATAGTCCGCAAGTATGAGCGCCGCCGGAACTCGAGTCAAGCTCTCATGGTCCGCGCACGCAACTGCGATCCCGGATCCCCATGTGGCAATCTGCGAGGCCGCTGAGAACATTCCTGTGGCACTGGATCCGCAAAGGGTGGGGAGCTGTAGCAAGTCCGGACAGTGACTGACCAGCTGCTGAACAAAAGTCGCAATTTGAGAGATCCAGGCGATAGCGCCGGCAATGTCCATTGCACAGGCGGCCTCCGGCACGCCAGTGAGGTAGTTGTATGGCCCGTAGCGGACGTTCTTGCTGCAGAAGTCCAGGTTCACTGCTTGCTGGATGAAGAAGATTGAATCGTAAATGTTATCGACAATAAACCCAACATCCACAGCACACTGAACTCCCATTCCACCAATTCCACTCCCGATGAACAATCGGCGACCAAGATTATATCTTTGGCGTCCTGCCTGCGACATCATAGGCCCAGGAATCTGAACACAGTCGTCATCGATGCATTTGCGCTCTGCCTGGCGGAATCCTGGACCGGAACAACAGACGCAACTCAACACAGTGACTGCACACACAGATTGCAGTAGATTATCGGCCTGCCAGAGGATATTCTTTGCAAGATGTCATTGCCAGGCTGGCACTGGCACCAACTTCGCCGAGAGCACTCACAATACCGGAGACTGCCGCACCGCACTCCGCATTGGCCTAAGATGAACCAGCTCTTGTTTCAGTATTGTGCGCGGCTGAGTCAGACAGCAGTGGTCCAGGCTAAGCTAGCAGCTAGCATCATGTTCGTCTACGCCCCTCAGTGAGTACTTATCTTGGGACCGCGTCCGTTTGGTCTTTGGTGTCTTTGGTCCATGCCAGACTGGACGGAATGCGGACTATGCGTCATCTCTGCCTGACCTGGAAGGTCAAAGGAAGCCAATGGAAACAAGAGTTTAAAAAAAAAAAACATTAAATCCGGAGTTAATTGTCCGTCACGGGCAGCGTCCGAACCCCAGGACCCGAAAAACATTAATCTAGAGTTAATTCTTGCAGGTGTATGCTTGGTTTTGCAAAGCAATTAAAT